GATGTATGTGTACTGGTGTGTTCCTTTTGCAGCGATAATTTTGGCAATCGTGTTCAAACAGGTGCTCCAGAATGTTGCCCAAATTAATGAAGACTTCAAAGAAATTTTGCATCTCATGGGAGGAAAGTGTTTGTCAAGGAAGGGGATACTTTATAGGAGGCTAAAAGCCGCGTCGGTCCTAGGGATTCGGGTAGTTCTGGTGGGAGGTTGCTCTATTGCCGTGAAGCGTGGTTTCAAGGTTGCATACGCATGTAATGTCATGGACGCGACGGTTTCGTTGGTTGTAGCGGATCCAATACGTTATTTGCTCGGAGAGTTAGTATAGCTAGGCGCCATTCATAAATTATGTCACACAAGAGGGGGGGAGGGGGTCAGGTTCCAATGATATCGTGCGTATGTGACACATGTTAAAGGAGGGGGTGGGGTCTGAAAATCGCGATTTTTGCGTGACATAATTTATGAATGGCGCCTTAGGGACTGTGTAGCTGTATTATTATTAAAATAAGTGAACTACATGCCTCGGGACAGTAAATTTGGGAAGGGTGAATTACAAAGTGTGCTTTCATATCTCGATAAAGTTGAAAGTTTACGCTGTACGGTAACGAATGATGTCTCGTGTTTCCCCCGATTGAATAAGATAACGCATTCATAAGCGTGGAATTGAAATGGAATTTGAAATAAATACAATGTAGAAATCGAAGTTTAAGAGTTCACCTCCTTTCACATCCAAATATTGAATACAGAGGTCGACGCCGACAAATTTTCGGCGGCGCGGCGCCAATTTTCGGTGATTTTTCGGCGGCGACGCGACGCGGCGTCCCAATTTTGAAGGGATAGGAAATCAAATTTTTCGGCGGCGGTGGCACCTAAACTACTACCGGCGTTCGGCGGCGTCGACCTCTAATTGAATACAATTAACTAAATTAGTCTCTAATAATTACTTGGGATATCCTCAGTAAGAAACCGTTAAAAAAATTACCACGAAAGTCGAACGGAATCCGATATGGGTCTAATTACATATGTTATGACGTATCAAATCTGCTCCAAATTACTTTCATTACTGTAAGTTGTCCAAGCTTCTGGCCAGTGGCAGCCACATGACCAGATGGGTTGTACTATGTAAATGTGGGGTAATTTAAGATTTTATATTTGCTCTACAAAATACCTATGAAAATATAGCAAAATAAATTTTAATCTGAGACATAAAACATATCAATAATTTGCAGACCATTCAACTTGTTGAAGTTAAAACTTTTTCTATAATAGCTTTGGACAGAGGTTTTATCAAAGCTACGAGGCCTTGAAATATTGTACTCAAATATTGGACTTTTACTCTTAAAAATCTGGTATACTCATATAGATACTCTGTACTGGTATTGATTTGGTAATAACTTGTTACCGGATTGGTAGTAATTTGTTTCTGACTGGTAAATTTTTCATTGCCACAACATTACCGAACGGTAATTCCTGTTATTCCGAGTGCCAGTCGTTATATTATCCTCCTCCAATATCATTCGTCTCAATGTTAACACCTCATCGAAGTATTTGAAAAGAGGGAATTCCACCCAGAAAGAGAAATACAAGCAGAGATGATGTAACAAAGCAACTAAGGAGGGGTACGTCTGTACTTTACAACGCCAGATCTTGATGTCCTTTAGATATATTTTAGTAGCCGATGAGTGTAGGAAAAGTGAAGGAGGGTTAAGGTCCATGGGCCCTATGACGCCCGCCACACCCACTTAAAGGGGCGCCCAATGCTAAACTAGGCTTACTAAAAAAATCACCAAAAACCCAATTTTGATCGGATTTTCATAAGTTTTACATTTTCTTGATCCCAGATAGTTAGTCTATCATATCCAATATCAAACTCAACGTTTTGGGAATTTTCCATATTTTTAAAATTTCCCGACCAGGGGTATGTCTTGGAAAAAATAAAAACTTTTAAAACGTTGAGTTTGATATTTTTCCTACACCCATCGACTACTAAAACATATCCAAAGGACATCAAGATCTGGCGTTGCAAAGTACAGACGTACCCCTCCTAAGAATTAGCAGTTAAGACGTAGAATTTTTATTAGTCTATAATTAAAATAAGACATGTTGATTTTCCATTTTTAGAGAATTGACGGGTACGATGTACATATGCTTACAGGCGATACTTTATTATTGTGAGAATTATGAAACTAATTAGCACTTCTTTGAAAACGAACTCGTCCATACATACATAAATAAATACTGGTAATGATTAGTTAATATTAATTAACTAAAATGAAGATTACATAAGTATCTATAATTATATTTAAGTAGGTTAGGTTTTGTTGATTGCAGGGTATTCCGACCCAGGGTTTTACTGGGTTGGGGTTTTTGGGTTTTACTGGGTTTTACTCGGGTTTTACTGGGTTTTACTCGGGTTTTACTGGGTTTTACTCGGGTTTTACTGGGTTTTACATACAAATTAACGAAATAGAATTTTTTTTATATTTTACTCGACAAGAGATAAGGTCCCTGGGCATTATTTCATCAACTTGTACCAATCCATCGTTTTGTAATTTTATCCCACATTTTGAGTAAAACCCAGTAAAACCCAGTAAAACTCAGTAAAACCCCAAATAACATGGTAAAACCCCGTGGGTAGTGGTTTTGGGAGTAAAACCCAGGGTTTTTCCTAACTCTGGTTGACTGATTGAAAAATGTTAATTTTCTGGACCCACTTCTTATCCCCATTTGTTACATAATAAGTATGTACTTAGCGACGATATCATTGGAGCCCCTGCCACCTCTCGAGATTTACATAATTTATGAAGGGGGTCTCAACATTTGGAGAATTGTGACTGAAAACTGAAATTCTAATTCTGAGTTTCAGAAGAAAGGTCAATTTGCTTAACGATAAACAAAAAAGGCTCAAACTTTGATCGGCATCGAGAACTTGAATGGTTTCCTTTGTCATTAGGCTGTTGACCTTTAAAAGTGTATGTAGGTTCGCAATAAGGCGGGATATTTGACATATAAATTCATACAAAAGTAGCTGTGTACCAAATTATTGCATGACAAGATTACACTGTCCTATTTAAAAGAAATTGGGTCATACAAATTAAACTAGATAGTAGATACTTGGAATTATGTACTAAGAAAATTTTGTTCCTGGTATTATGGAAATGTTTTATGGATACAAAAGGAGAAAAAAATGATATATTTTCTACATTGCTCTAATTACGGGGAAGATTGTTGCGGGCTAAACGTAAAAATGATAAAGTGAACAAGCAAAAAGCGCCCACTCAAGGCAATTACGAATTATGTAGTTCAGCAAGAAATTCCAACCCAACTGATACTTTATTTATCAGAATTTAACTAAAAAAAAGTTACGTATTTGAAGTACGTATTTATGGGTATGCGGTTGAGGTCAAGTTCTTTTTTGTTGAATATAAGATTTGACAAAAACCATTCCACTATCAACTTTGAAACTTTTGTATATCTGAACAATTTAAGTTTCCCTTTTGAAAAATAAACGAACTCTCAGTTTTAAACTAAATGCAGAGTGACCCTGGTTTTGCATAGGTTAATGCTAACTCTGGATTTAGGGGAGTTAACTTGATATAAAATCCAGAGTGCATTTTCTTTTCGGAAGGCATATTCGTACACAAAACCGGCTCTAATTTGATTCCTTTGAAATGAACCAGTTGTTAATTTTCATTTTGCTCATTTTTCTTTCCAGCAGTCAGTAGTAATGTCCACGTGGTACCGTGACAGCGTATTTCAACGAGTGCAAGCTCCATTTCCTCAATGTGTCTCAATTACCCCCCTCGTTGCACAAACGAATCACCCGCCACAACCCATACACTCCATAAATGATCGGTGATTTCGGTCTACAGATTTCGAACCCTGCTTGTCTTCCTTGATTTAGACAAGTCGGCTGTAAAACCCTTCGCACACGTGGATCTCCTCTGGGCAATTACGAACCGTTTACCTCCCGCGCGGAACATATTCGCCCACATGGCTGACCCGTAGAGCAACTAGAGAAGCTACATGTGGGGTCGTTTGATTTCAAAATTAGGCCTGTTCAATGTTCACGAATCTCACGAATATGCCTATTTGCCTCGTTTGTCCTGCAAATCCACACTAAAAAAAGTATCACGGGTCTACACCTCCTACGTGAAATTGATTTAGCGTGGTACTCCCTTAATTCAAATTTTAACCGCGAAATAGTGGTACATTTGGGTTCACATAAGATTCAAAAGGACGGAGATTGCCACCCAATTAGGCGAAATTTCGACAAAATTTATTCTCCAGAATTTTGCTTATTGTACGCTCTCCGCCAAAAATTGAGCTTCACTTATCGACACTGGCGAGGAATGAAGAAGTCAGAATGGGGAAATTTGTACGGATGGATAAGCCTCTTATCTGTGATATCCGAAGTAACGAAGAAAACTATGAAAAAACATGATTCTATTTACAATGTGAATTTTATGATTATCAAGTTTTCCGTCATTACCGATTTTCCCTCGGTGGCGAATAATTTTGTCACTTTTCTCCTCCCCTTTGATCCCGCGAGGTGGATTCTTCTTGTAATTTCTTTAATAGCGATGTGCACTTTGGTTCTTATTTCTGTTTCTTCATGAGGTAGCTGGATTTACCGGTCGACCTTGGAGACTACATTGGGGACAAAGTTTTCCACTTGAGCGCCATCCTATTGGGGCAAAGTGGGAGTGATGACGTAACAAAAATATTTGCAAACCGGCATTTCGCTGTGATAGGCTGAACCGTCAGGTTTTTCGGGTGTTACATTCTCATGGCAAATTTGTACCAAGGGTCGATATTTTCTTCCTTAACGGTTCCCGAACACGCTAAATAATGATGTATACAACCACTTGAGGAAAACGAAATTGTGGAAAATTTGCTCAACCTTGATGATATATTGCTATAATGAAGTATAAAAAATAGTCAATTAGCTTGTACAAAATTTATTTTACACAGTCTTGGACAAATTTTATTCAAAAGTTTAGTTATCATGATTTTACTCAATGTTGTAAAAACTTTGCATAAATTCCTGAGTAATTGTTGTACAACATTGGGGAAGTATTGACCAACTCAGTTGGCTGTTTAACGCTCATTCAATCTGGGGAGAATTTACTCATTAAGAGAGCAAAATCATACCACACATTGAGCAAAATTCAGTCAAATGTTGTGGTGGTTCAGCCCGTGCGGCGGTCTTTGTCAGTTGGAAGCACGAGACCAACAGAACCAGTCAAAAAGAATTAATTTTGCCATTTTGAGTTGCAAAATTAAATTTACGCCAAAATGGGTGATTTTGTTGAAAAAGTTCTCGAGATTGCAGGGCTGGTGGAACTCATCGCAACATTCAAAGGTAAAACTTAATTGTAAATCAGTATTAATTAATTTAATAATATTTTTTTTTCAATCTTGCAGATCAAGACGTGGACGAAAATGTGCTTCGCAAACTGCCAGATTGCCAAGTCGGATCGCTTGAAGAGCGTCTTTTAGCTGATATCGTTCCATCAATTGGACGGAGGCTAAAAATTATTAATGCAATCAGGGAAGTCGCCGCCGTAAGTACCCTTCAAAATAAACGACTGTTTAATTGTAGCATTTGCAAATCAAATTTCCAAGAATTCAATACATTTTGGAATCATTTAATAAGTTTTCACGAAATTAGTAAAGGAACGGCTAGAATTAATTGTCCTTTGTGTTCTACAATTTTTACTAGCACCGAGACACTTAAAAATCATGTAAAACTCTTTTGTCCAAAGAATAGAAGTAGATCAGTAAATTCAAATCTAGCTATACGTCAGGATATTTCTCAAATTACTGAAGAGGAAATTGGACCTAATTTGTTGGCAGATATTACTACAGACTATAAATTAGCTTTTGTCAAAACACTACAAATGTCGGGTTCAATTTCATTAGTAAAGTCAGCTGAAATTTTATCATCTGCAAATTCTCTAGTAAATAGCATTGTCGATATTGCTAAAAATTTTGTTAATAATACCACTGAGAAAGATGATTTGCTAATTAAGCTGAGTACACTAAAAGATCCTTTTCATAACTCAAACTGCTCTCAATATTTAATTGAGAAGAGTTTGAAAGATCAAAAAATTTATAGTGAGGCAACCGAAATTAAACTTGGGTCACATTTTAAATTCGATGTGGCAGCTGGGTCGGTAATAGAAAAGTTTGATTTCATGTATTATTTTGATTTGCGGAAAAGCTTGCCAATAATATTGTCTCATTATAAACTTGTATGTAATTTTGTGTTAGACGACAGTAATAATTTCAATCTTTTCTTAAATTTTAAATCTGGAAAATACTTTAGAAAATTGGACGGAAATCCCCTTTGCTTGCAAATTTACTACGACGATATAGAAATTTGCAATCCACTTGGTGCCAAGGCTAAATACATAAGTTGGCAATGTTTTATTTTATAATTGCAAACTTTCCACCTCACTTCAAATCTCAGTTGTCAACCATTTTTCCTCTTTTAATTGTAAAGTCAAAATTATTGAAGGAATATGGTATCAACAACATATTGAAACCAATGGTCGATGAATTTAAAAAATTGTCTGTAATTAATCCACAAGATATTTTGTTAGAGTTGCCATTCACACACGTAGTTTTGCTCCAAGTTTGTGGCGACAATTTAGGCCTACATTCCCTACTGGGATACACGGAAGGGTTTAATGCTAATTACAGGTGTAGATTTTGTAAAGGTAACAAGCATTTTACCCAAAACGCTGTGGAGGAAGAGATATCACTACGTCGGAATATTGCTAATTATAGCTCGGATTTGGTGCTTGGCGACATTTCTTTAACCGGGATACGAGAGGGGTCAATTTTAAATGAAATTTCCTATTTTCATGTCACTGAAAATTATGCCCCAGATATTATGCATGATTTTTTTGAAGGAATATGCATAATTGAGTTAAAATTAGCATTGGACTATCTGATAAAGACCAAGAAAATTACTCTGCAACAAATTAATCATCAGATTTCTACCTGTTTCAAAAAGAATAGTCATAAAGTAAACAAATTTCCTGAAATAAGTCAACAATTTATTTGTGATGAAAAGAAATCTTGTTTCTCTGCATCAGAAATGAACAACTTTTTTCTTGTATTTCCGGCAATTTTTTTGGCTTATTTTGACGATGACAAAATGCTAAATTTAATTTTGAAATTAAGAAGAATTATACGAATTATTATGGCACCGTTAATTTCCCGTGAAGGTGTATCACTTTTGCGATATTTAATTTCTGATCACCACCAGCTCTATATTAATTTGACTGGTAATAATCTAACTCCAAAATTTCACCACATTTTACACTACCCTCACGCAATTGAGCAGCTGGGTCCGTTAAAAAATTTTTGGTGCATGAGATTGGAAGCAAAGCATGGCTTCAGCAAAATTGTGGGGAAAAATTCTTACAACTTCAAAAATATAGCAAAATCTGTGGCAAAACGGTTATCTTTGAATATGGCATTTTCCATTAATTCTTCGAAAGGTGACGGAATTATGCAAATTAAGTTTGGTGGAGGAGTTAGAATAAGGTTGGATGAATTAAAAGGAAATTTTGACTTTTCATTACTAAATATAGGTAGCGAGGAAATAATTTTATCAATCGAGTTTGTAAGTGCGAAAGGTACAATAATTTCTCGTCATAAATATTTCATTCTAGGGAGTAATGAGAATCAGCTTCAATTCTGCCAAGTTCAACTTTGTTTTGTGCACGATGATCAAGTTTATATTTGTGTTTCTCCAATTACTTGCGTGGAATTGCTTCACAATTCTTATCTCTTTAAAGTAACTGGTAAAAAAACGGCAATAATAATTAAACCTGAATTATTAGATTTGGAGCACCCGTTGATTGTGGCAAATACGAGCTCGGAGTATGACGTAATATGTTGCCCGATAGAATTAGTTTAGATTAATTTTAGCATAAATTAATTTTAATTTAATTTTAGGATTAAATTAATTTTGTTGTTTAGCTTTTTTTGTACAATAATAGAAATCCAGTGAACAGCAGCTGGAAAATATGTACAAATTAGTGCTGGTAAGAAAGGCATCTTATATGTTTCATATATTGTAATTTTGTAATATAGTATGGTGATATTGGTTGTTTCTATTTTTAGATTAATAATGAAGAAACATGCTCACAATCCAATAACAATTTTGAGCAAGAATCTATTTGCTCCGTAAACATTTCTGAGGTCGATAAATGTTTGTCACTGTCAGATCAGTTATTTGTGAGTAACGAAGTAACAATTTGGATGGTCACATAATTTTAATTAGTTAATTAAGTTCGTGTATTTTCAGAATGTTAAAGAAATTATAGTCCAATCAGATCGTGAAAAAGGTACGGCCAAAGGACAGGAAATGTTGCAACTAATTATTAGCCAAGGGATGGCGTCGTTCCAAGTCAAAAGTTTAATTAAGAGGCGCACAGTGAATTATCTCATCAGAAACTATTCCAACTAGTAAGTGTCTACATACATTTATGTTAAAATTGATTCTTTAGTTAGTAGGTATAGTAATTTATTTTATTTATAGTCCACCTCGCCATGTTAAGAAAAATCTAGCTGAGTGCATCTCCTCACAATTGTTTGGGCACCTCGCCGAACAGCAGCAGATTGATATTAAAGTAAAACCAAATTATATTTATCTATAACATAATTTGTATGAATATTAAAATATATTTTTTGCAGAGCTTATTCTACAGTGACGCCAAGTCAATTGACACAGAGGAAATGGACCAGAAAGGGCGAATCATTTACAAAAATATTCCAGCGACAGGATTGATCGAGGACCGATTAAAATACTTGCGGAATAAAAACTGTATTTCAATTCGGAAGAAGCCAAGAGTCCTCGACTCTATTACTAATGGTAAATTTAACATCAAACTAAAATTGTTGTATACCTTTTTGTTATAAATAATAATCCAAATATTTGACAGATCCTACTGTTGAGGAATACGAAATGAAATCCTGGCTGTCTAACTCAAAATCACCTGCATCTCAGGTGCTGCAATACATGAAGGACACCTTTAATTTGCGAAGTCTAGAATTAAAAAATACAACCAATTTGAGTAACACTTTACAAGAGTGGCCACATCTTCTTGAGACATCTGGTGTGGTAAGTATAATATGGATAATAGAAATAAAATAATAAATGGTTAGCTTTGAAAGTTAGCATTGATATTGCTCCTTTAAAATTCCTTAGATTGACCAGGACTTTGAAAGATTGAATCCCGGGAAATCGGAAATTATGCTAAGGAAGTGGCCTAGCATCGCCAAACAAATTTGCGAATTCGCCGAGAGGTCTCAAACCAAAGCAATAGCTGAGTCAGGAATTAAAAAAATGTTTTCAACATTATCATTGGGTAAGTGTCAGAGCTGTTAGATAATTAATATTTGCAATAATATATATTTATACAGTTAATCAATTAATTATTTAGATGAGATTACAATTGCTGCATTTGTGATGTTGCCGTATCTGACCTCGACATCAGCTTATAAGAAGAGAGGAGCAAAGAAAGTCAAAATATCAGCTGCGGCGGCTGCTGACTTTTTTATTCAATTTGTATCTGTAAGTGCAATATTGTTTAATATGTATAACATGAAGCAAAATTTGTATCATTTTCTTAAATACGCGTTTGTTTGACTCAATTCAGAAAACTTTTGATTTGGAGTCGTTCAAAGCCAATGAATCGGAGCGACGTCAACCGTTTGTTGTTTGTGTTGGAGATTTGGCAAACCTTATAATTAAGGATGTTTACGTTATGCTTGAGCGAAAATTAATTAAGTCGCCGACGATAATTTCTGCCGTAGATTTATGTTTTAAGTTGTTCCATGTTTTAAAACTTAAGTTCCCCGATGAATGTTACCCGGTCTGGTCTTTCTTTGATCACACGGTCTACCAGATAAACGAAATTGTATCTCCACCTGCATCAGTATTAGCTTTAGGATCTCATATTATTGTTTAATTAATTTTGCATGTATGTGTAATAATTAGTTACAATTTAAATTGTGTTCATGTATTTAAATTTATCAGTATTCGTTTTTGTATAAGATTGAATATTTAATTCGGAATAAAAACACTAAAAAAATAATTAATCAGACGTTGTTGAAGTTTAATTCAATATTATGCTAAAATTCATCCAATTAATTGCATAAATAATTTGCAAGTGAGTTGAGCATAATTCATTCAAGCATTTGAGTAAACTTTTGTCAGCAAGTTGATTAAAATTTGCCCAATTCAATAGTAGAGAACGCTCATTATAGTTGATCAAATTTTACTCAACATTGGTCAAAATGAATCACTCAAGTGGCTTGAGGAAAATTTAACCAAGACTTGTTTCCATCACTTTTTTCCTCAGGGTTGATCAAAATATTACTCAAGGTTGGGCAAAATTTGTACATTTTTTCTTAGTGTGAACTACCGAAAATACCCGTCACGATGGCTGAGCTGCTATCCTCCCAAATATCCGTCTTAGCCTAATGAAAGCCGAGTGGCATAACGTTCCCTCGCAGAGTAGAACCTCAAGGTCAGTCCTTAAGAGTATCATAATCCCTGAATTAAAAGTGGCCATGGCGGGAAATTTGGCGAATCAAAAGGCCCTTGATGCAATCGACAAACGACTAATTTCCCTAGAAATAGGGAATGGCTGGAGTGTCATGCTTATCCGAAATATTTTTAATCTTTACCCAATCAACCAGTTCGAAACAAGGAGAACTTTTGCATTGATGGATGGCATCTTCAATCTAAAATATATGTGATACTCAAAAAGGTGAGAAATATGACTCGACACTTAGTGACATTCATTGTTAACACCGACCAAAGAATAAGTGAAGTCGTCGTCGTCGTCGTCGTCGTCGTTGAAGCTATACAAATGAAATTGGCAAAAACGTTACGAGGTACATATATTTTGCAAAAACCCAAAATGCAAGAAAACTTCGGTAAATCGGTTTCACGGACCGGATAATTTGTTACAACATGACAAAAAAATGAGAAAACACTCGGCCAAGTGGGCGACGATTTATTGTCGTAGAAGGATAACTCGAATGATGGAACGATTTTGGAAGAAATTCGAGAATCTATGAATATATTATCGCCTTTTATCACTTCTAGTTCCGTGTCACCTGGCTGTCACCAGGCTTACAGTCCTGTTTAAAATCAGGTATACCATAGGCAAGAATTTGGGCCAATTCGTTAGCGAAATGACCCTCATTGTTATAACAGCAAACCTCGTAAGAGAAACCCATTTTGGTTTAAACTCGACATTTTAATGAGTATTGTATAACAATTAACCACCCACTCAGCATTGGATCGATTGTCTTGAACCCAAATTAATCCCCGGAGCCCCCTTGGTTGAAAACCGAATAAAATTCATTCCACACTCATTCGACAATTAGGTAGAACCCATAAAGTGGGGTAAAATCTGCATAAAATCCTGAATTTTTATAAAAAGCTAATTTGTCAGTCATACTTTCGTGGGTGTCAAGCTCAAAATTTTAACAAGGAATGACAATTTTTTATGTGGACTAATCGCCCCAGATTTTAGTTGTTCCGAATAGGTATGCAATTTAGGAATTTGCAAAATTTCAAGTGAAATTTAAGAATCGGAAGGAATTTAGTGGAGAACATTTTTGTCTTTGGGAGCAATGCGAATTCTTGGGTGACGTGTGAAAGGCAGAGAATTTCGCTTTGGATAAATATACCCGTTTCTTGTGGAAGCATTGATTTAATAAAGTATAGACTATTGATACCTGTCTTATCACGAGGACCGTGTGGCAGGCTTAATTAAGTGTTCAAGTTATTCTTAGATCGAGGCATGAGTTAAACACTGTTTACTAAACAGTGTTGCACGTGGTGAAAATCAAATGTACCAGGAAGGAAGAAAAATTGGGAAATTCGATTTGTCAATTTTTCAAAAATTGTGACTTTCGATATTTCAATACTATAATTTAAATCCTGTACTCAATGAGCATATTGAGAAATCAGTACAAATTTATGTACCAAACAAACACTGCCGGTGTCAATACTTTGATTACAATGTTGATTCTGAGTTATTATGCAATGACGGACGGAAAGATTTCATTACGACTCGGAATCAACATTATCACCAAGGCGGTTAAGTAAGTCGTATATTGACACCGGCGGATAAAATGTTCACTGTAAAAAAAATTGAATGAAATTGCCACTATTGAGTACAATTTACCCCGCCAAAGTTAAAATTTACTCAAGGTTGAGCAAAAATCTTTCAAAGTTGTATAAATTTTAACCTTTATTGGGTAACATTTACTCAATAGTTGACTTGGTGGCAATTTCACTCAAAATTGAGTAACTTTTACTCAGTTTTTTAGAGTGTTATTTTGAGTGTATCTCCAAATGTCCGCAACTCGAAATTCACTATCCTATTTAAACTCTACGTTGAAATATTGAAAAATGGAATTTCCCAATTTTTCCCGCCTTCCTGGTAGATTTGATTTTCACCACGTGCAACACTGTTTACCCCATGCCTCGATCTAAGAATAACTTTAACATTTGATTAAGGCTGCCACGCGCTCCTCATGCATGATAAGACAGGTATCGATAATCTATACTTTATTAAATCAATGCCTCCTCAAGAAACGCGTATGTATTTATCCAAAGCGAAATTCTCCACCTTTCACACGTCACCTAAGAGTTCGCATTGACAAAAATGTTCTCCGCTAAATTCCTTCCGATTCTTAAATTTCACTTGAAGTTTTGCAAATTTTTAAATTGCATACCTTTTCAGTACAAGGAAAATCTGGGGCGATTAGTCCCAATCAAAAATGGTCCTTCCTTGTTAAAATTTAAGCTCCACTGCGTCCTCTCCGCCCTGTATTGTGGCGCGATGGGGGCAAACATTTGCTTTGGGAGGTTGAGCACGACGGAAAAATTGCAAGGTTCCATATTCCTTATGACATATTTAATCTGCGCCGTGTCCCGGTGGAACTACGGGCTCAGTCCGGGACCAATCCGGGTCATCAACTCCTTCCTTCTGTATGACGCTGGGCCGTTGAAAGGTTCGGAAAATAGAGCTTTTATAATTTATGTCGCATAATTGGGATGGCATTCATATGTATGCATACTAGACGATTCGCAGATATTTATGTAAGAAGTTTGGCTTTATTTCGTAAAATATAAATAGTTTTCTCAAAATTATATAAAAAAAGAATAAATGTAGACTCTAGAAAAAATCGAGCTAAATTTACTCAATTTTAAGTGAAATTGCAACCAAGACAAGTATTGAGTAAAATTTACCCAATAATAGTAAAAATTTATGCAACTTTGACAGATTTTTGCGCAACCTTGAGTAAATTTTAACTTTGGCGGGGTAAATTGTACTCAATAGTTGTCTTGGTGGTAATTTTACTCAACTTTTTTTACAGTGTAGAAATAATACTTTTTAAATGAAAACCAATTTCTCAAATATCTCAAATAAATTGTTTGTTTTGGATGATAAATAATTACGAAATTAGTTCCAAAACTATTTTTGTCGCAAAGTTTTTGTGGCAAATTTTTCAGGGGAGGTTTCAGAATTTTTGCAGAGGTCTACGAAAATAAGGGTAAAGAATTACTTTTCTATTCGTAACAAGATTGGATGAATTACGTAAAATAAATGTATTTTCTTAACCAGAAGAAAACATCAATGGAGAAATAAAACGTGTTTCTCTTTAATATCGCAAAATTGTTTCTTACACTCTTATGAAAATCAGCAAAACGCGGTATTGATATGTGACTCTACGGCCTTGGTCATGATTTGGTAATAAATCAAAAAAATTAATACCATATGGTACAAAATTTAATACTACCTAGTAATAAAATGATTACCACGTGGTATTATTTCATTACCGAATCTATACCAGCGTAGTAAAATCGGATAATACCAGAGCGGTAGAGTCACATATCAATACCGCTCATTTTTTTTAAATACCCAATTTCTAAGAGTGTACGAAAATAATTGCAATGCTTTACCGACCGCAGATCTCCTCCATATTTCCATGCAATCTGGGGTCGTCAAAATAATGAGGATGTTCATCTGGCTAATGGAGTTTTCAATTTGTGTCATCCCAATCCTACAACTTGTCCTGTTGACCTTTGCCCCTTGCACTGCCCCCTTCATCCTCTCTATGATTCCGAACTGTAGGGAGGGAAGTATTCCTGGATTTCAGGTGGGAATCCACCTTTTCGAAAGCTGGATGGGGTATCACACCATGTACTCCGGGGCGACCTGGTTGTGCTACGTTTTACTTGGCGGGATAACTGGATTTCTGGAATATCTTAAGATTATGGAGACGTTAGTAAGTTGATTTGATTCATCCATACTGAAATCACACTGTGGTTTTAATGGGATCTCTGTGATTTTGTGATTACATCACAAATAGTTAAAAATAGCAGAATATGATAATCATATTAAATCACGGTGTGATGACTACAAAAATCCCAAACTGTGATAATACAAAACAAGCAGAGTGTGATTATTACTCTAAATTACAGCCATTAATTATTACACAGAAATAAATATAGTACTGATTGTCACACTCAGAACCAGGATTTACACGGGGATCTGGACAACCTATGCTTTACAATACATGTTAAAGCCACTTTGGAAATTAGCTTCGTGGTGATTTTATACATGCATGTATACTGTAATGCTATATTTGTGTATCGTGTAGGGTAAGTTACTTTCTACTTAAGGTTAGGTCGGATATACTTTTTGGAACCTACGGATTATACGTACCTCCATATTTTATTATTACACAATTCGAATGTTCAAGTAACCCTTAAACGCATCGGTTTATGTGTAGGTGATATAATATTTTAAGTAATGCGTAGTTCACGACATATTTGTGCACACCACGGTATGCTTCGAATATCAAGGATGGCCTAAATAGGAATGTTCCAGTACAGGTATCCTTTACAAAAATCAGCTTCAAATAAAGACATTATCACACGAACAAAGTATTAGATTGATACTATTTTTCTACAATATAAATAATACAAATAACCTCGAAATGTTCGCCAAATCAATACTTGTCGTCACCATGGTCTCTACAGTAAAATCGGAGCCATACTCTCTGTCCCTTGTCGACGCCCGTGTATCTCATTTACTGGAAAATATAACCCATTGTGATCTACAAATTGTGCATGATGGAACGGATTTTGGAAATCACAATATTCCTGTGAAAGTCATATGGATCCCAGCATATCTGAATCAAACACTATACAATCCGTCATCTCCAGCTATTAATATCTTATCATCTCGAACCTCTCAGCATAAATTTAGTCTCTTTCTGCCAAAGGTACTAATTGAAACTAAATTCGTAAGCGAGTTTGAAAAATCCTCAAGTCTAGCATGGTGGCTTTCGATTGCAGTACTCACCCATTTGTATTACGTTGTTACTGAATTTGTCCTGCTTCCTACTATAGGGAAGGTTAGAAAAAGGTTTCACCAATATGGTAACATGTTTATAATTGTTGTTGCGGCCAAGCAGAAGCAGGATTTAAATCACCTCCTGCCATTGGCCGATCTTTCACCATTCTCTAATTCGTACACGCTAGTTGCATCATATCTCGCTAGTGATAACCGTACACACGAGATTTGTGGCATTCCACAAAGCATAATACTTAATGGTGCAACTTGGGCAGATTGCCGTATAATAATTGACTGGGATGAACGATTAGATATTGTTGCAAAGTGGTCAAATCAATGGTTACTATCTACACCGAAACTCAGCTGGGAGCCTAACAATAAGTTTGATATACGACAGCCGACCAAGAATAAAATAAATCCTTTCGATCGAAAAGAAAACTACACAATGCAGGACTTGATAGCTTCAATATTGTCAGATGCTAATGTCACAGCGAAACACATTTTGGCGAACATGCCACCATCACAAATTCCTACGCTAGAATTTAGTTACAAGCTTGGCAACGAAGATTTCATTTATTTTGAAATGTTTGAAATCATTCACCAAGCCTTGCCCTTTACTGCAGTGATAACGAGAACTACTGGGTTCCAGTATCTTTCATGCTACAGGGAACGTTACCAAACCTTTGAAATTTATATTTCCCCTTTTCGACCCGAGCTATGGTTGACATTGCTGATAACTTTGGTTCATGTAATTGCATTGACGTGGCATTGACACATATTTTACAAAAATTTCATTTTGTGCGTGAATTTTCTTGTTGGCAACCATGTTTGAAGAGGGGGGCCACGTGCGTAAGGTAGTTGAGCAAAATAGATATTTCCGCCTAATTTTTGGCTTAATATGTTTAATGTCTGTTATTCTTACAAACTGTTATACTGGGTTGATGATTACTGAACTAAATGCTCCACAACGATCGTCGGTACCAAAGACTTTCAAGCATCTAGTCTGCAACAAATTGTCCCTAAATGAAACAGACATTTTGCTTAATAAACACAGTGGGGGACGCCTCACGGCACGCGTATTAAGTTAATACGCTGCCAAACCGTGAGACCCTTGTTTTAAAATGTTATTCCGTCCATCTTTGCACGTAAGTACGAGGAAATGCCAATAAATAATTCGAATATTGTATCGTCTCAAGTAATCTCAACAATGAGAACCACTTGTTTAATTTCACAACTTAAAAATTGGACAGGCAACTTTTAGTACATTCTGTATGCAACAAAAGCATTTACCAGGCCTCATTTCGCGTGGAATTTGCTTTTTGGCATTTTTATGCATTTTATGTACCTTTATACGCCATGCATGCCCACTAAGGGTATCATTTCGAATTCACATCGTTTAGTAACGTTCGCAAAAAATAAGGTTCGCAAACATTTTGACCTGAAAATTCATTTACGAACGTGCACATCTCCAAGGCTAGTACTTATTTAAGCCTAGTACTCACGAGGGACTTTTCACGTGAAAAACGGCTTTTGCTTAAATTCCGCTCAAGCTTAGCTCATGTGGTACTGAGCTCTTCGAGCTAAACTTGAGCGAAATTTTCCATTCGAGCAGTTTCCGCTCATCTTTAGCTCAAAGTTTGAGTGAAATCGAGGGTATTCCTTCGCGTGAAATATGCGTGGAAAGTGACTCGCGCCCCTCGGAGTTCAAAATGAGAAGGCGGAGCAATCTCAAAATCTCATTTCAACCTGATGACGCATGTTATTAAGGCGGTTAATTTGAAAATGGGGCAAAGTGCAACCTATTTTTCAGCTTAAACAACCTGAGTACCTACGAGTGAAAATTGAGTGAAATATGTCTGGAAAAGTGGTGTTTTCTGTCCGCTCACACATTTCGCTCGAGCGATGGATTTAACAGATTTTAAGCAAGTCGTCATTTCGCGTGAAAATTCGTCCTGAGTACTAGGCTTTAGTTCGCAACATATATTTCACTCATGCTGGGTTATTTATCCTATTTGGACAGCAATGAAAATCGACCAAATTCTGCACTGGAAGATTTTTTTGAATTTTTGAAATATTATTCTGGACCTGTATTTGCTGGGCATCAATAAAACGTTTTGTTGACCAAATTTGGTTAAAAATGACCAAGAAATTGTCTTCAGAAGTCGAACGTCTAATAAACCACTTTTCCGAAGGGAAATTGTCCCAAATTGAAATTGTGGATAAGTTTAAATTAACCGAATATCGTGTTTCCCCTTCCACAGGATTCAGGTAACTTAATTCCGTTGGAATTAAAACACAAAATAAATTACCGGGACTACCATCGACTTTCAAGTTTCATCGCCCAGGAAAGGTATCGCTCACCGTTTTCCGAAAAATCGACGCTCAGGCTAGACGAGAAAATCCTACAACCCAAACTCAAAGTAGAAAAGGTGTTAAAATATCTCACCTGCATGTGACAAGCGTCATTAATAACAAACTTAAAAAAAAGTACAAAAGTTCAAACGTTTTTTGACTTAATCTCGAAAATCTTTCGAGAAATGACCCAGCATTTACATGTTGGGTCGGCCACTCCTTTGGATTTTTTATTGGTTTCAATTACTAAGACTAACGTTTAATCTCAGGCGTGTTTTAGTTTTGAGGGCTGTTTCGGAAACCTTTTTGACGAGGAGGTGATGATGTTTACAATCGAAAATACAGGAAAAGCAATGAATTCGTTGAAACGGCGAGATAGACTGGGTAGCTACAGGTCTAACATGTTGAACATGTTGCACAAACAAAACAAATGCACCAACGCCGACTGATGTTTTTGGGTCAGTTTCAATTGCTGTCCAAATAGGATAAGTAACCTTCCGAATGGAGGATTTTGAAATGGGAAAAGTCCATAAATCTTTTCGAAGCTTTGACTTTTGAAATTTTTGAAATTTCTCATTTCAGACTTCGATCAAATTTTAAGAACTTTGTCATTCGCGAAGTAGTGTCTTCACTTCGTCGCTACGTAAAAAATTAGGGAGAGGAAATTATCTAAAAATTGAACTTTGGCCTCCAAAGTTCAATTTTTAGCTAATTTTCTCTCCCTTTTCCCTCCACGGGGTGAAAAACAGGGCGGACGTGTGAACTTTAACCCCCAATATTTTTCTTCAAAGGGGTCATTCAACGGAATGATAAGCGCTATGTGATTCTTAATTTTTGGCTCGATTTCTTGATATAACTCGTTACTCAATCCCGGTGTAGCTTGAGAAAGGGTTCCATTATAAGTTTTTTTTCCGAATTTCAAAAAACGCTCGATTTAATTCAAACGTAACCAAGTCAAAATTCAATTTTGGAAACTTTAGGGGGTGTGGCCAAGTGAGGATTCAGAATACATGTACCTTATGGGGTCTCAGACCACTCCCTTAATAAGACATTTGGTATAATATTTGGCCACTGCCTTTAACTTACATACCCTCTTGACATATTCGAGTAAAAAATGTTGTGAGGTACCGCTTGAGCCAGTTCGAGTATAACTAATCCAGCTGATATCAATTTTTAGAATACAACTGGTTCGCTAGACAAATTGTTGCTAAATGGAAATTTTGTAAATAATTCGGAATTTTGTTATTCACGACTAAACCTCGAATTTAGTTAGCGCTACAAACGTACTATTAAATTAGACACGTTATGCACACGTTAGGTGTAACCATAGTTTGCTAACTTTGGTTTGTTCCTAATACACAAATGAACATTGTTAAAATGAATCTGTTGAGCATACCGTCTAATTCGGAATTTTGTAAAAAAAACGAAATTCTGTTACTAATCCGTCAACTTTAATTTACTCGAAAGTTAGAAAATATGTCAAAAAGTCGTTTATTATTCAAGAATGAGAAAAAAACTTTTTGAGAAAAAACGCCCATACACGTGTACGCTAATTTTTTATTTCATTCGACACATCCAAGAGCGTTTTTAGTTTTGTGACAACTCTGCACACACCATGTACCGGTATTGTCGAAGTTAGTCAAATACATAATTTTCTATATTTATGTTTAATATATTTCTAGAATATTTACTGCTAGTGGCTGCATCATTAAAGGATATGAATATGTTAAATATGTACATATATGATGAATACGAAGGTGCATAGATACTTATTAAGAAATTGACGCTGCGAATATTATGCAGTGATAGTTTCTCGATTACTTATTAATATTGTGAACGAAAATTGCATGTAGACCATGAATCATAGCCCATATTACATAGGTATTTATCCTACCTATTTACATATTTATACATGTAGGATTCTCGTTCTGAATGTACATAATCCCAAATTCAGTCATTACTTTTTGTGCCATTTTTTTGCACCATCTCCTAGTCATACTTTGAACTTTCTAGCTATGTACATACATGCTATTTATACAATTGATATGATACCCTATTAAACAATTCTGTCCACGACTCGATTCAATATATTCGTAACTATACAAGTTACGTAAACGAATTTTATTCAAGTTTAAGATCAATGATTGATTAATCAATCAATCATTGATTTTCCAAGTAGAGTGCGAGAGGGGAAAAAATAATGCGTCATCGATTAAAATTATTACAGGTGGATTTGTTTCTTTTTATGCATCCGTCATGGGTTTACAAGTGATTTGGTCTTCTCGTCTCATCCACCCGGGGCATTTCATGTAACTGAGTCCACCACAAGTGGAAAATGCTTGTTACAAAAATCCTCTAAATTCTGCAGCAGTGTAGATATACAATATACATATGTACATGATTTGCCTATGCAGCCTATACACCTTACAAAATTAGCCAAACGGGTATAAAAGCAGTCCAACTTATGGATCTGAAGTCATTCCGAATACGAAAAAACTGTACATTCAATCATCTAATTTTCTGATATATTTTTCATAAATTTTTCATACGTAACGACGACTACGTCATGATGGATCACAAATTTGTCCTCTTTTTCGTATTCCTCCTAACCATTGGACAGGGGTAATTTGATTTTTAAATAAATATATAGAAAATTAAACAATCAAAAAAGTCTACTTATTTTAAATTTTACTTTTTACTTTAACAGAGAACTGTTATCGCATCACGACGCGGTTAACAAGCTTAGTAAATGGGGTAGAATTGTGTTTAAATCTCAACTACATAGAAATGTTTCTACTCAAACGTATATATATTTTTCAGGAATTAAGCTGAACTGCTATGATGCTAATAGAAACAACAAGCGTTGTACAAGTTTGCAAGACATTCGTTCCGACACTATTGATTGGCTCATAAATTTTAAGAGGACGAACAACTGTAAATTCGTTGTCACTGGGGGAACCGAGGTGGTCAAAATTTGAAATATTTATATTTTTATTATTCATCCACCTCAATTGTACAGTGTAAAAAAAATTGAGTGAAATTGCCACCAGGACAAATATTGAGTAAAATTTACCCCGCCAAATTTAAAATTTACTTAAGGTTGAGCAAAAATCTTGCAAAGTTGGATAACTTTTACCTTTTATTGGGTATCTTTTACTCAATAGTTGTCTTGGTGGGAATTTCACTCAAAATTGAGTAAATTTTGCTCGATTTTTATAGAGTGTATGGTGAACAAATATTACAAATTTTATTTGATCAACATGTAGCATGCCCACAGAGGTAAGGGGATCAACACTCATGAGGGCGGGTACAAGGTGGATCTTCGAATTAACGATTGTCTCAACAGATACATCATAAATAATTTTCATTTCATTTGCAACACAAATTTGGGGCCAAAATACTTGTCCGGATCTGGAGCAATTGTACTTAATGAGACAAAATATCCAGCCCATTTTGACGCCCTCTGGCCTGCTAAACGAGTGACTAATTTGAGTCAAGTAAGACGCCGTACAATATGTAAGTAGAAATTGGATAAGATTTGAAAAATTTTTGATTTGATCATTGTTCTAAACTTGTGAGTAAATTGGGGTCGAGTAAAGTTTATTGTGGTGCGAGAAGTGTCATGTTTGAATGTAAAATAGTTTTGAATAAAATTTTGTTCCGTGTTCTTTAAATTATGGTTGGATTTCCAGTGATTTATAAAATTCAGGGTTTCGTTTTTTCCGTGCAAAACTAGTTTTTACCATGGCAGGTGGAAAAAGTGGGAAAAATGGTACAGTGAAGCCCAGAATTGAACGTCCATCCTATAATTGTCCCACACTCATGCGCATAACGTCTGAACTGTTCACACAATCTCCCATTATTGATATCAAATTGGACACACTTTGATACTCTTTCAAAATCAATGATTGTATTTCTACTGGGAAATATGAGAAAAAAAATCATGAAAAACAACAAGAAAATTTGCGGGTCAAAATTGTACGTCCAGTTACAATTATTTTCACTTATACCAACATAAATTAATTTACGCATCAAGGTAGTCCTATAAATATAATCTGTCAACCTTATGGCACTAAATTCGACTAACATTATAGACGTTAACTTCTCGTAGTGAAATTTCTGTCACGATAAGAAATCGAGAAATTCAAGGTTAGAATGGGGGCAAAATGGGGGTTGATCGGAACGGAAATTAATAGAGAAGTGCAAACTGAGAAGGGTAACAGTTCAATTAATCATACGAAATTATAAAAATACTCATCGGCTTAGAATCCACAAAAAAGCGGTGAGAATCACAAAAATAGGTTTGGCATCCCGTATAAAAATCGTGTGGCGACTTTTGCATAGTACGCCACACTTAGTCGGCATAATGATTTATGCATAAAAAATTGTGGATAATTGTGCATAAATTTCTAGAGAGTATATTCTGCATAAAAGTTTATAAACTGATAACTAGGTGCCAATTTAACGCTCCAAGAACAAAATATTTTCTTCCAAAAAAAATTTATAAATTTGCAAATACTGATTCTCGCAAAAAAGTATTTTTTAATTCCAAGATTTTAACAATAAAATCCAATAATATAATTAAGATCCAAATGACTGAATTACAACGAATTATAACATATATGCTATATAATCAAGCTTAAAAATAGAGTGCATTTTATTTAGTCAATGATTAATGCTTTTCGAACCAACTTTTTCCTTCCACGTTTGGTTTTGTTCCTATGTTGTCAGTTTTTAGATTATCGGGGACAATGATTTTCTCCTTAATAATTCCAATTCCCACAATGTGTTTGCATATGTCTTCTTAAAAATAGGACAAGTACAGGTTGAGTTAATCCAATCCGATAAATGATAATTAATTACCCATAGTCTGGACTTGCTGGTCGAATAAGAATCAAACTTTTTCCATGACATACGTTTGAGTAGCCCCAAAGTTCTGTCAATTTCATCTGTACCTAAGGATTAATCTTTTGCTGGAGATTGAATATAATCGTCAAAGATTTTTTAAAATCGCAGTCCCTTCTTGGATTTTGCCCAAATGTAAGATTGAGAAAGAAGTGATTTGGATAATGATGGCGATTGATAAAAACATTTGTAGTCTGGACTATCCGGGCTTCTGTCTTTGGACCAACTCTGGAGAAGTTTTAGAATGCAGCCAAAGAATTGTCTCAATGGTACACGTCCCTGATAAGTCCCCTCTTTCTTTACGCTGATAGACTCAAGACCGTTATTAGTTGACGGATATTCAGGGGCTAAACCTTCGTACCATCCGTCACGTTGATCAAGTTATTCGGATTTAAAGTAATTTAAAGAAAGTTTCACGTCGTCAATTGTTGACCATTTCTTAAGAAAAAGTGTTTGCAAATTTCAAATTCTTCAACACAATCAGCCAACTGCATGGAACGAATATCGCACATAATTTCCGTTATGTGCGATGAGATGTTAGTGTTGTTCTCACATTTTTCATTACATGGAAAATGAATGCACACTTCTATAATCTAGTCCGTTATGTAAATCCGAAGCTGGATTATAAACAAAATACTACATGTAAAGTTAAATTATATAATTTGGAGCATGTTATTATTCGTTTGGAACATTCTAGATTTTTCTTGGAAGAAATAATTAACTCGATTGCAGATTTCATTATTGGAAAAATTAATAATTTTTTTTGGAAGAAAATATTATTTCTTTGGGTGCAATAAATTTGACCCTTTTCATGAAGAGAATTTTCTTCATACAAAGCTTGTGGCAAGAATTATCTCTTTTATATAGAAAAACTTTAGCATAATTATGTATAATCCTGCACAGTTTATACACAAATCACCCTGCATAAAGTTCTGTGCATAAAATTCTGCCAAATTGCTGCATAAAATCCAGCCAAATTTCTGCATAAAATCCGTTAAAATTTTTATACGGGATAGGTGAGACAAGTGAAAGTAAAACCATCTCTGTCAGCCTCTATGGTAGTTATTCAGGACACCACCATGCTTGGTAACCAAGTTGGACCTAGTACCATCAAAATGACCCTGAACAAAGAAAATCTTCGGGGAAGCCCTTCGGTTTTGAAGCTCATCATCTCAAAAAGATGCGCGACAGGACGAGTCAAGTTCGAGCAGAGGCAAATTATTAAGGACTACGCTATTTGAGACTGAATTTTATGGAGGGAAAGAGTCGAAATCTAATATATTTCGATCCTACAGATGACATCCAGTATGCAGATATCAAAAATTACACTAGTTGAAATATTCTGGAAATTCAGAAATTAACAAAAAAAAATGGAGGTGAAAAAATCATGATGTTCAAAATTATATATTTATATGCTAGATAAGTACATAATTGTTCTCTTTGCCATATGAAATTGAAGGACAATTTTTGAGTAAAAATGTGTGATTGTTACAGAGTTTGGGTTATTCTCGATTACGATTTCCAAATATTTTTCCATCGAATTTTTCCTTTACAAAAATTTTTAGAAAAAAAGCAATTGAAAAAGTAATTGTGTGGATTGTACAAATTCTACTTAGATACATAAACCTAACTGTTACATGCATGATAGTTCGGGAGGAGGAATTTGGGGAGGTAAGAATTAGCAAAGAATTTGACGGAATGAATATCATCTCTCATCTCAAAAAACTCACCTGGATGGCACAGAATCCTTTCTCTCGTCGAACACAGACGCCGTAATTAAACCGATTTATTTATCCTCTAAGTAACGACAAAAAATCCACATTCTCAAGTGACAAATTTTTAACTGACTTCGACACCGAAAAACACTAAATTGATAATACTTACTGATTTAAACATCACATTCAGGTGTAGTCATGGTTGTGAGCAAATCCTCTCCTGAGCTGACAGATCACCAGCCCAGGAGCGATTTGGCCTTGTGATAAATAATATTCTCTGAATATTTAAGTAGGCTGTGCTCAAGTTTTGGCTAACTTGAGCATACCTTAACATTGCAGACATGGAGCGAGTTTCTAGACGAAGTGGTGATAAGAGATCGCCTTCTTGGAAACGACTCTCTATCAGCCACTGATTAAATTATAGAATAGCTTTAATGAATAGATTTAGGAGGGAGGAGTTGGTCTCTGTTACCTATATCCTCATGTAAAACGACATATGCGCAAAATAATATTAATCGAAGCAGTACAAAGCTGTGGAATTCTCGTCCAATATGCTGGGTCAAGGCTGATATATCTTATAACATATTTGTATACTTATGTCGTGACTTTATTATCTCCAAAAGAGGTGATGAATACGTTTATCTTTAGAATTAGTGATAATAATGATTATAGTTGTTCTAGTAAGTTGTTCTAGTAAGTGATTTTAATGTTAAGAAATTGTGTTATAACTTGTAAACCACTCTTGCCGACTGAATGTGACTAACACTCGAATAAAGGTAAATTGAAATTGAGGATGAGATTTGTTGGAGAGAATTCTTCATACAAATCTTCAGTTGAGTCCGGCCTTCTGCTCCATTGGTCTTGCTTTTCTGTATCCAATATTTTATACATATTTCCACCCACTTTTTCACTACATACTTACATATGTACCCACATTCAACCTTTGTACACATTTTAACAATTAAAAGTTTTGAAGTTTCAATAAATTTCTTAAATTCAGTTTAAAAGCCTCTCTCACCAACATTTATGAGCTACATAAAATTCTGCATTATGAACCATTCAACATGTTACATGGTAAATCAGCTTTTATCATGCTAAATAATCGCGGAGGTCGCTCCGAATTCGCCATAGCCACTCTATCATCGAAAGTCAGGGAATTTTTGTTCTCGAATTCGTGGCGAAACTTCTTAATTTTTCGCTTGTATGTATTTCTTTGCTTAGTCGCACAGAATTCTAAATCTAAAACAAATTACCCGCGGTATCTCAACGATATTTCCCTGCAGCGACTTCGCCCAAAAGTCGCTCTAATCGCAGAGAATTTTACCATTGAATTGCCCCGAGTCCTTTATTATTCTCGGACTGGAATAATCCGGAATGGACATTCCGGATATGAATGTCCGGGAAAACATCGTTCTCCACAATTACATGTGAAATATATATTAGTGTGACTGACCTTGCATCTTTATACAATAACAGAAATTTTGAATCTTAAAGTCATGCAAATGGCGTGTACATATCACATTTTCATAACTTATTCAGTAATGTTTACTAATTTCTTTTTCAACAAAAGCAAATGAATGACAAAATCGAACAAATTTGGATATTTTATGAAGAACGTGTTATACTCTCCTTACGAGAACGATATAAATGCAAATATAGTAGAACTCCAAGATTTCATATAAAATTCTATTCGGAAAATTAATTCGGAAATAAATTTGTAAATTCAATTTGACTCCAACTTCGACGAGAACATTCAGGAAAATATTCTATATCATAATATCATGAACTTTTACCCACATTCTTTACACTGGGCCCCTAGTGGTGGGCGGAATTTTAGAAAAGTAGTTGGTCCAAATCTAGCAGTATGACACTAAAACTTGTTAACAATTTTCACGATGAGTTTTTTAAATTCGATTCTAAATTATTAAATCACTTATTACTTTGTAATCAGAATAATGATTTCTCTCCCTTCAAAGGAGTCAACGTGTTGCTCAAGACGAACATTTTCTTTCCATGACTGTTTATATTATGTCCACTGTGAGAGGTTTCTTTAC